TGTTAAGATTTATAATAAATTGTTCAATTTTTAAATTTTGCTATAAAGAGCTTAGGCTAACAAAAGATATTTAAAGTAGGGGCTGGAGAGATGGCTCAGCAGTCAAGAGCAATGGCTGCTCTTCCAGAGGACAGGGTTCAATTCCCAACACCGACATGGTGTCTCACAACCATTCATAACTCCAGTTCCTGGGAACCCAGTGCTCTCTTCTGGCCTCCGCAGGCACCAGGCAAACACAGTACACAGACATACATGCAGACAACAAAAAAATCACACAATAATGAAAATATATTTTAAATATTTTAAAAGAGAGGTATCAGTGGGCATTTTTGAAAAGCAAACCCAAGGAGCCAGTCCACACTGGGAGGGTTGCTCAGTCCCAGGGGAACGGTGGGCACTACAAATAAAATCAGATTTAGCTCTTCTTTTGCCCCATAAGACAGGCAACATTTTAGCTGGGCGTTGGTGGCACATGCCTTTAATCCCAGCACTTGGGAGGCAGAGGCAGGTGGATCTCTGTGAGTTCGAGACCAGCCTGGTCTACAAAAGCTAGTTCCAGGACAGCCTCCAAAGCCACAGAGAAACCCTGTCTCAAAAAAAAAAAAAAAAAAAAAAAAAAAAAAGCAAACCAACAACAACAACAAAAAGCAAAAAGACAGGCAGCATTTTAAAGGTCTGAATGCATTGTCACTGAGATATGGGACAGCAGGAGCTGTTCTGAGGGTTTGGAACGAGGGACGAATGGAGTGTTGAGGGGAACATTTTGGCAGTGCCTGGAGTGATGATGCACACCCTCATGCAGTGAAGTCATCCCTGGGGACATGCCCTAGAAAAAACTGTTCTGCACCAGGAGACAAGTCCAGGGATGTCACAGCTTAAAAAAAAAAAAGTCCGGTTCACGTCAGGAAATACTACACAGATGGGCAAACTGTAGTTACAGGGATCTGTCCCAGTGAAGCTCATAACATGGTGCTGAGTGAAGACGCAGATTGCAGGCAGAAATGGGCAACACGTCCTGCTTACAGAGTGCAGGGCAGGGCAGCCCCTCCAGCATGTGTTATTAGAGGCAGAGCCCGGCAAGAAGGAACCCACACAAGGGCTCGCCTAAAGCAGGGGGTTGGAGGTGAGGAGCGTGTCAGTCTGCCAGGATGGACTGACAAGGGAATCAGAACATGGGCAGGGTGAGACAGGGCTGCTATATGAGGGAGTATGTGGTGGAAACTTCTACCTTTTGCTGGAGAGGGGTGTGATCAAATCATGGGAGCCAAGTTTGTGAAAAAGGGAAAACGAGCCAATTCTGCTACTGCAATAGGTTGGATGCCTCGTGGATTCAGTATGTGGGGATAAACATGGAAGCACACATGATTGCAAGCTGTGTGTAAGTCTGTCTGTGCCATGTTTTCCAGCAATACTGCTACTTTCCCAAGACTGCTATAATCGATGGCCACAAACTGGGTGTCTTTTGTTTTTTACTACCCTGGAGGCTGAAGATCTGAATCAGGGTGGAGCAGGACCATGCTCTCTGAAGGCTGTGAGGAGGGTCTCCTCTGTCCAGTTGGCTCCTGTTAGTGGCTGCCCACAGCCCCTGCAGTCC